TGTGTGTGTGTGTGTGTGTGTGTGTGTGTGTGTGTGTGTGTGTGTAATTTCATTACCAAAATAATATATTTACTTCTTTGGATTTTTCAGTACTTTGTTTCCATTTATGCGAAATTTGCTGGCATAGAAGGCCTCTTCTATTTTACTAGGAGCAATAATATAAAATAGATAAGATTTGTACAAAAGTTATACATTATAAAGCAACTTTACTTATATATTTCAGTTAAAATAAGAGATACCTGCGACTCATTCCAAATGCAGCTTTGGAAAGACTATCTAATCGAATAGATGTAACCTTTATCTTGAGCAATTTTGAACCTAGAGGGATTTCTTCTTCATTCTTTTCTTCATTTTCTTCATCATACTTCTCATCTTTAGCCTCTTTCTATAAAATAATTTCAAAGATTATTTATCTGCATTAGAAAAATGATTAAAAATAAACAGAAGAAAAAGATATATGATTAAATTATTAAATTAATTACATTCTTGGTTTTCTTTTTAGATTTGAATCTTTTTACTATGTACGGATTATAGAGATTGTGCACATTATGTAGCTTTATACCATCATTACACATCCCAGGATCTAATTTTAAAAAACCTCGTGTGCCGTAAAAAGTGCGTACATTGCTGCACACCGATCTTTTAATAATGTTAATTGTCACTCTGGATAACATAGTAATTTAACCAAATATATATTTTATTTGTCGATTAAATAATACAGAATAAGTGTGTAATAAAATTTTTTGCTACATAACCTTAAAGCAAGGTTAAAAGCTATTTAGAGTCAACATTTTGTGAATGTACATAAATTATTTGATATATCGATTTCTTTTAGTATCAGATCTATTTAACAATTAGGAACACGAATGCCTCGATTACAAAAAAATAATAGCTTCCTTAATTATAATCTTAATTATAATCAGTTGACATCTTTGATTTCCATGTGCATCTATATACAGGTTGTTTCACTTGCACACACAGAGCACAGTGTGACACTAGGAAACAACTTTTGATTGATTCGCCATATGTTATTAATATTAATATATCTGAATAACAAATTATTTTAATTAAAAAATAATGAAATAATATAAATATGAATATTTAAAATTATAGAAACGTAATATTAATTAAAGTTCATCAAATAAAAATTTGGATATCAAAAATTTGGTTTCGCTTGAAATGTTATATTCCTAACTTGATTTATTTCTAACAAATAAAAAGCAAAAATATTATAACAGACTTGTAATATTTTCAAATGACTCAAATGAATTCTCTATTGTCAAATCTATGAACCATGAAAACCGGAAATAAACGACTCTCGAGTCAACTTTATCGTTAAATTGAAATTTTCCATAGATTTCTTTCATGATGTTCATGTTTCTATTAAACAAAAACAGCAAATTTATTTTTCATGTCAAAACTCAATGCTCAGCGAATGACGAGACATTTCTGTTTAGACTGACACCCGCAGTCATCCTCCTCTGTCGCAACGAGGACCTCTGATGCATTGCAGCACCCTGTCGTCTTTCGTAAAATAATTGTATTTTCGTCGTTTGAAAACGCTGTGCTAGAGCATCATGCCAAAGAATAAAGGTGAGTTTGATTCCGGTTTCGCCTCGCGTTCGTATTTTCCTTTCGACGACTCTTCGACTACCGTCAATTCGAATCGTGCAATGTGATTATTACTTGCTAACCTTAATCCGCGTCAAGGCTACTCCCGAGGCGACCCGATTTTGTATTTTCACGTATCTCCAGTAACCTTCATCACTCGATCAATGCTTTGTCCGCAGGAAAGGGAGGTAAAAATAGGAGAAGAGGAAAGAACGAGAACGAAACTGAGAAGAGAGAGCTGGTGTTTAAGGAGGATGGACAAGGTGAGAGTGAAACGCGGTGAGGACGCGATGTCCTGCCGGACAAGTATTTGATGTTTGTTGATGACTCATTCGATATTTTGTTTTGCAGAATATGCTCAAGTGACAAAAATGCTCGGCAATGGCAGGCTAGAAGCCATGTGCTTTGATGGAGTCAAGCGGCTGTGTCACATTCGAGGCAAATTGCGGAAGAAAGTGTGGATTAATCAGGGAGATATCATCCTGATCGGATTACGGGACTATCAGGATGCTAAGGCAGATGTTATATTGAAATACACATCCGACGAAGCACGCAATTTGAAGACCTATGGCGAGTTCCCAGAAACTGGTAAATAACATTTATATTGTATATATTAGTGTTTGTAATAGTTATGAGACATATTTCAATAGAATCTACCTAATTTTTTGTGAAAATTTTAACAATTAGGTCATAAAACAAGATAAAAAACTACTTTTTTTTTATATTTTTCTAATGTAAAATTTTGTCTTTACTTTAGTGCGTATCAATGACACAGTAACCTTCGTGGAAGATGGATTTGATGAGGATATTGAGTTTGGTGATGAAATCAGTGATGACGATGAAGATGATGTTGACAATGTAAGTATTTATTCATATCTTGAGAAATTTTTAGATTTTTTTCTTGTTTTACTCTGCTTTCATTCTTCAGTTTTTCTAGACTTGCTTTCATGTTACCTTTTCTAGCAATAATGATTAAAATCTTCTCTTTGTTTGCTCTTTAGTCATTTCATTATATACAATGATTGAATAAGTACTCAGTAATTATTGCCTATGATTAAAATGGAATTTAAATTAGAAAAATATATTAATAAAGCTAGTGCTCATTCATCAATTGCATAATTGTTGTTTTTTGAATATAGCTAATATATGCCATTGTCTTACAGATCTGATGACCCACAGTGTAATAATAAAGAATGGTACATCACGAAAAAATGCATGGGGACATCCTGTTCATTTCACAGAATGCAATTATACAAACTTTTCTTTTATCGAGTAGCTCATCTCCCTATATGTATTTATAAATAAATCGTCAGTTTGTGGGTAACATCATATTCGAGTTTGAGTAGTCGTTTTTGATATTTATAAATTTTTATAGGAACGTGAGTTCTTTTCAAATAGCAAAATTACAAATGATGTTTAGCTTATTGAATAAAATTTCGCGTCACATGCCAGATTAGTCAAATCTGTCTTTGTGTACGTAATCAATATGAACGCCTTTGTGTATAATCGTTTTTTGTACATTTCCTTTTTAGTCAGATATTATTTGCTAATTCGTAAAATACACACACACACACACACACACACACACACACACACACACACACACATATATATATATATATATATATATATATATATATAATTAAACGAAGAATGAAACGTGTAGTAAGTACTCTTTATATGTTGAAATGTTTCATTAAATATTTTTTCCATTGAGAAGCGACATCATGTACAATTAAAGTCCAGTCAGATTTTGACGAGATTTTAGAAGTACTGCAATTAGTGTAAATTAAATAAAAAGACAAAGAGGGAGGAACAAGCTCTCAGTGACATTTTTGTCTTAGCATTGTTTTATTATATAGCTTTGATTGGTTACAACACACGTTGTTAATAGTAATATAGCTGTTCAGACAAATAACGCGTGCCAGATGTAATCCTCAGGACGCGTTTTGTTATATATCTGCAATCGTTCTGTGCATGTTATATTTCTTTATATTAAAAAGAGGGGAAACTACAGTGCTGTATTTTGAAAATTAATTATTGGGTATTAATGATGAAAATGTGCAAGTTATTGTATCATTTTTGTTCACAAAGAAAGAATTTGAGGAATTGTTTAGGTATAATTAAGCGAAACAATAATTTGATTGTGAACTTCGACTTTTTTCATGTTAAATAAAATGCGTACGTAAACGAAGAAAAAATACTTACTTTTCCACGCCTTTTCCTTGTAGCTTTTTTGTAATTTATCAGGAATGAAATAAAATCTATATAGTATTTATACGATTTATAATGTAATAAATGTGTAAAAATTATGTAAAAATTATCCTGTTCATGTTTGAACAAGATTTTTTTTTGCTTTTAAATGAAATATTTGGAAACAATAAGAATGTTAGATGAAAGAAAATGCATAAAAAAATGGCAATTAAAATAATGATTATTCATCTGATGCCTGAATATGATTGAAGGGGTGAAAAATGTTCTTTTTTTGTCTCTCTCTACTCTTCCATTGCAAAAGACATTGTAATTCTGATGCAACATTTTATTTATTATACTGATGGTTCTATCACACAATAGTATATAGTAAATTATAATCTCTTTCGTTTTTTTTTTTTGATACCTTGACACCATGCAATGCCATTGTAATGATAATTTAATGCCACTATAATATTGAGGAAGGACATGTAATTAGTATAAGGGGAAATATGTTTGACTGCTTGATGCGCGTTATGTTGTTGACGAAAATTAACTTGTACAAAAGTATGTGATATATAAAGCATCAACTCGATATTGGCACGTCAATGCTCTGACGATGACAAGCGACATTGATATTACACGAATTTGCAATATACATTTTCGTTATATACGTCGATCGCGTAAAACAATACAAAAATGTGTTGCTATTGGACATAGAACATATCATCTGTATGCTGCGTAATATAATAGTTACGTTGCGTCTTACGGATCTATGCAAACTATTTCTCGCTTCGTGCGTGAGATGAATCATCGTTGATAGCATTGGAGTACCAGCATCGCGGTATTCGTAATGAATTATATACTAAATGTTACGACAATACATATTATGCAGCATATTATTTTATTTTGATGCGCATGTGATTGTGCCTTTGGTCCTGAGATCAGATAGGCAAGTCTATTAAAACGTAGTATAACAGTCATTATAGACAATAATTTATAAACTTCAGATAGCATAATCATCTTTCAATATATTATACATTAATAGAATAGCTTATTTAAATTTTGTTTCCTTTTTTTAAATATATTTATATATTATATGATTTTTTTTCTCCCTTCGTTTCCCGCGTTCAGTAAAATTGTATCGTACACTGAAAGAGCTAACATTGGCTTAGATATTAAAACATAATCCGCATCATTCGGGTTTCAGATAACATAATTTCTACATTGTTGCGCGTGTCCGTTAGCTGCTATATTTTAGTTTACACTGGTTCACGTGAATGACACAACGTTGATAATATAACTGTATCGAGCTTACAAATGAACGAGCGTAACATTTATCCAGAAGCTCGCTATATAAATAAAATACTTCTGTTAGTGTCTTATAATTATTACAATCGTGTCCATAGCACATTTATTTATATATGTATATATTATATATATGTATATATATATATTATATATAAGTTACGCGCTATAAGAAATTATCATATATACAATTAAAAATTGTTAGGAAATATCCTTTAAACAAGTTAAATTTATACATTATGTGTTTAGATAAAAACATTTATTTCTCACTGTTAATCAAATCAATACGGCCGGTGCGCGCGATAGTCCGGCACCTCTTGCGACTCGTTCCTTTCTTTTTATTTTATTGTGCCTGAACTCGTGACTTGAGTCGAGTAACAACAAGAAATTCCATTATTCCCATTTTCAGAAACTTCAATTATTCGTCGCCGAAATGTTAATGTGAAATATATGTATATATATATGTATATTCATATGTATTGCCAATCTATTAAGCGATATATTGCGCGAATAGAGAGATGTACAACTATCCCGAAGCTTGAACGGGCTATTCTCGCGAAAATCTTACTAATCTAGACGATCATTGATGTCGGCAGATCATTCGTTCAAATCTTATTCTGCCGCGTTTCCCGCCTTTTTCGCGCTTCTTTCTCCTCCGTATTCCCTATCATTTCCGCCTGATACTTTCCTCCCCTTCTATTTCGCATTATATCTTCAGACAACACGAGAAAGGCGTTGCATTTACATGGACGGGTTGGCATAGTGAAGACTAGCGCGGATCGGCTAGTCGAACTAGCAACGATAGCATACGCAGACATATCATCATTATCATCATTATCATCATCATCATTGATCGTGAGATTCCGACGAACGCAAAAAGGTAAGGCAACCAAGCGGAACGGAAAGGCAAGCAAACTCGAAGCGTAGGCCATGAGCGTGGTAGTAAATCATCAATGCATACTTTTGTATGGTTTAAGAGAGGCAGCATCTCGAGAAAGCGCGTATCTTTATGTGTTCCAAATCCTTATTATATAGAGGAACTCGTAGCTCGATGCTCGAGGATGCATCGAGCTGAGTTCAAGGATCGAGCTACATCTCTTGGTGGAAGGATCCAACGATTACGGGAGAGATATCGAGACCCTTTGGCGATTTCTTCTTTTGTTCTGTTTGCAAGTTCGAAGGACGAAACGTGTACCTTACTCCTAATGATCTTTCCTCTCTTCTGTCATAAATGTGTCCATAATCTTCTGCATCGATTCTCGCAAATCATCCGTGTCACCGGCCTCCACGGATGATATTGTCCTTGTTTCCGTTCGTGTGGTCGTCGTTACGCTGCAAGAAACGATTCTTTCGAGATTACGTTCTTCTACACATATCTCTTCTTTAACTTTCCAATTTTTCGAAAAATTTCGTGACATTGCACAATATGACAAAAAAAATTTAAATAAAATTTTCGAAGCAAATGGCAAATGTAGACGGAAATAAAATAAACTCTGCGGAGGACAATAGTCCGACATACCTGTCTTTGATATGTTAAAAGAAAAAAAAAAAAAAGAAAAAAAAAAAGATCGTAATTCGTATATACCTTTCCTGAGTGACAG